TCCCCAAACAAAAAAGGAAGAAGGACACTTGATCGCGGGTTACCAAGAAATGAGTGCCAGTCAGTGTAGTGGAAAGGCTGGCATTCAGTGTTTGCATGATTACCCAATTTTTCACTTTTTATTTCCACTGCATCACTAAATTGCCTTCTGAACATTCCGAAGGGGCACTTGTCATGCATCTCAGTCGGTTCAGAGTTGAGGAATCCGATTCGCCACTGCAACAAATGCTACTTCGCCGGCTACACCTGCCGCTAGCGGTGTCAATCGCACGTAGCGGTAGTTAACAACCAGAAAAGACTAAGGCCCGGTACTTCCTTTAAGATTTTCACAAATACTTTGCAAGGCTTCAGGATAAAGACAGATTTTTTTTACAGATACTCTTATTTTTACATTTCTACCGTTCAGTTTCAGTTCGAAATTCAGCTCTGACTTCGTCTTCTCATATTCGTGAACGCCATTTGTTTTGCTCATGACAAGGCAAACAACTCATCAAGTTTTCCCTTTCACTCTACCAATTTCCCCTTGAATTTGTTTTCTTTGGTTTTAAGAGTTCGGGAGTAATATCAACGACTTAAGTCACCTTAGAAACTCTCAGTGCGAGGCAAACTGAGGCACTTGCCTCAGTCATTTATTTTTCCAGGTTTGACCCCAGTGTTTAAACGTAGTCATCATAAACTAGACCCTTAATAGCTAGGCGGGGAATTCAATCATGGACATTGTCTCGGTCCTTATTTTTTTCTGGCTACTGCCCCGAATTGACGTGTGTCAGAAAGGTGCTTAAATAAGGCGTCGTTCAAGGCAATTAGCATTTTGTTCTTGTGTCTTATGATGTGTCAATGTTTGATCAATGACAAAGATTTTCTGTGACTGTTTTTGTTTTGCTTAAACTTTTGTGAGCTCACTTCAAAATGAGGCGTTTTTAAGAAAAACTCCTACCTCTTCCTTTACTCTGATACCCTGCGAGTAGAGGCTACATTTTCGCGGTATGAGCTGGCGTGCGAAAAGTAGCCTCTGACGACAACCGTTCAATTTTCTATCGTACATGCGCAAAATTCGTCACGCGATTCTCAAGCAACTGGTTCGTCAAATCTGCGTGAGTTTCGCGGGAATCAAAATTGCGAAAACTACTTGCAAACTCTCCTCGAGCTTTTCTTTTGTTTTTCTGCCTTGTCTCCTCTAGTTTTAAGTATTTTAGCCGCAAAATTTCCTCGCATCGTCTTTTTTAGGAAAGTATTATTATGCTACCAACTGTAGTAAGTCCTGTCTGCTTAGCGGGGAGTTTAACTCCAAACGGCAGTTTTTTCCGGCTTATTATAGTAGTAATACACTTATGTTAAAGAAGTTTTTCGGCCAGTGCAAAAGATCATATTATGATCTTTTGGCCAGAGTTAAACCATCTTAACGCCTTTGTAAAAATTGCTACAGGGGGTAGGCATTGATGCTATATATCAAAAGCTGGAAAAATGTTCTAAACACGTTGCACGGAGCGCGGATATCACCCATAAACTGAACGACTCTTTCACCGGCGCGTTTTTAATAAGTTTTCATTTCAAAAAACGGTCGTTTCATGAACATTTAAGCAGTTAACTAACGGTGCAAATAAGCTTTCATATTTTTCTTATTTTTAATCTATAATAAGCTTAACCAGTAAACCATAGTTTTGTTCAAGTGAAAAATGAAGTTCGACGACAACCCTACGCAGAAGTGATGCTTGAAATAAATTGGTTGCTGTAGTCTCAGGATTGTGTTTTAAACTAATGTCATGAATGAACATAGACAAAACCGAGTAGTAAGAGAAATTATTTATCGAAAAATTTTATTCGAAAACCCATAATTTTATCCTTAAAAGCAATTCGCGTAACACTAAGTGGATCGTGGATCCTTTCACGCAAGTAAAAGCGGCCGAAGACATCAAATGTCAACGCCCAAATCCGTCTCAAATCGTATAAAACATCTATGAAACAACTATAAATACTTAAATTTCCATTTAAAAACGGAATTTCCTTGACCATTAATGTGCAATTTGTACCTGAAAATTTTTTAAAAAGTTTGCCGCTTTGGTTTCTTTTCAGAACAGGACATGCGTTCCACCGTGAAGAAACCAACCAGGTTAAAATGCTTGAGGGCGTATCAGTGTTCAACTAAAAGCTTCTTTTCTTCTTTTTCCACTAAAAGAAAACTGATCGATGATTCTTTTGAGCTTTCCGGTTCCCATCTGTGTCTTAAAAAACAGTACATTTAGCCTAAGGTTTAGCCTTGCATTGAGAGGTTAAGCCTTGCGTTGAGAGGCGACACAACAAAATCGCCGCAGTATCCATTTTCTTTTCCTGGCAAACAAGAACTACCATCTGATAAATTAAAGATCTTTACCGTGTCCCGTAAAACACACCGACAGAAGCTTGTTTTGGTAGTCCGATAGCTTTAAGATACAGAGCTTATTCAAGTTGACTACGCTCTTTTAAACATTTGAACTTTTTCTTTGCTACGTTTGAGCCGCGTTCGTATGCGAAAATTTGGCGGGAAGGGATGCATGAAGGCGCAATAATGGTCAGCGTTCATTCGCTGACGCAAGACTCTTGCCCTGTTCTAAACCGGTAAAGAACAGGTAAAACCCGATTTTTTAATTTATTCGTCCAGATTTCTGGACGGATTTGAACGGTTGTCGGCAGAGGCTACTTTTCGCCAGCTCATACCGCGAAAATTTAGCCTCTGCTCGCAGGGTATTACTCTGATGGACCTACCCCTTAAAATTACCAGTTCACGAGTACAGCCACTTGCCCGTGGCCTGTATTATTGCTCCTGGCATGGCAATGTATACCACCAAACATCAGAAATTTCGGCACTATAAACGACTCTCATTATAAAGGCACAAATGACTGTTCGTCGAAGCAAAATGTCTGTTTTTATCAATTATGAATATAAAAGAAATACGTGCAATAGCAAAGTCAGTGAAGTAGACAACAGCTGGTATCGATTGCTAGTATGATTTATTAATCTACTGAAACATTTTAAACATGATAATGACAAGTGATTATAGGTATTTAAAAAGAAATAACAAAAATAACAGCGACAGCAACAGCTACAATAACAGTAAGCTACGGTTACAATGTACTGAAAAACTGAACCCGCAACATATAACTGCATTAAGTATTTGTGATAATAATATTAATTTCACTTCTAAAAACTCAGATTGCCGGTGTAAGTAGCCTGAGAAAACAGCCGACATTTGGCAACGCTAGCACTAGTTTCCGCGCCAAATGACGTCCGAAAAACGAGCGCAGAAATCCCATACTGATGACGCGTCACTACTCAGATCTGGATAGAGCTGCTGAATGGTCGTGCCGCGTGGGAAATTTGATTCAACCAATCAGAGGCACTATCCAGATCTGGGTAGTGACGAGTCATCAGTATGGAATTTCTGTGCTCGTTTCTCAGACGTCATTTGGCGGGGAAGCCAGTGGTAGTGTCGCCAAGTGTCCGCTGTTTTCTCAGGCTACCATGTAAGGTAATCAGGATACCGGAGTTTGAGAAATTTCTGCATGTAGAATCCGGAGCCATGGGCTTTGGAATTAGCTCGAGTAATTCGGTTTCCCGCTAACGATTGGAATCCCGAATCCAAGTTCTACTAACAATGAAGGCGGAATCTGGAATCTGGAATCTGGAACTCAGAGCATGGCATCCAGAATCTAAGACTGTCTTGGATAATCTTACATGAAGCGACTCAGAGCAAGCTTCATCAGCTGGTTGAGTAGTAGATAAATGATGAAGTGACCAAACCCTATAAAATGTGGAGAGATTCATGGATGGAACTTAGGAGTCTCTTTGCATTACTGATCGGCTTCAAAAATACCGTTTGCTGAATTTTCAAACTCATAGTTGCAATTAATTGGAAGCGAAACTGCGTCTCGTTGTGATCAGTGCATTGTAACAAGTTTAAACAAAATCTCAATGTAATTTTAAGGCCAAATTTACCTTTTCACTATTTGAAGATTAAGTACCATTTACTATTTTTCGTGGTGAGGAGTTAGTGTCCAACACTAGGTTAGGGGAGGAGTAGGTAGGCACTTTTCCTCTACACAGACACCGCTCTGTTATGAACACTTCGGAAATAGAGAGCTTTAGATTCGAGCACGAGGACGACTACGAGTACGAGATTTTCTATACTGACTAGTGCACGCCAGTGAGACAGCGTCATTTTGGCGGGAAAACGTGGTAGCTGTCATCATTCTACAACAGGTTTTAGCCAGAATGTCACGTAGTGGCGGGAAAAAGATATCAAATGTAAGAAGCTTTATCATTTTGGTCATTTTGCTATCGGCAGAGGACTGAATCTCCTCAGTATAAATAACCGTACGAACGTTTTTGGTGAAAAAAAAAAAAAAAAAGTAAAATGAACTTTTCCGGTGTGTCTGTTTTTTATAACACGGCGCAAAAACTGAAAGTTAAGTCTCGTACTCGTTCTCGTCAGTCAAATCTCAAGCTCTCTAATATTGGCTGCAGCTAAATTCCCGGCATAAATATATTACACAAAAGAACTGACTCCCGTAATTACGAACTCACGCTTTTTTTGTGGCCTAAACGGAGTAGGCTCCACCCAGAAGTGGTACCTTCAGTCTCAGATTAAAGGGAATAGGGAATTCACGAATTAAAGTCTATAAAACGGAGGAAAATCAATCGTATTTAATTAATTAAAAGAGCCGCTCATTAAAACGTTTCTAACAGACGCGCCTTTCTTTCATTTGTATTTATTAAAAGTTACATCAGCTCTACAGTCTTTCTGTTGCAGTGATTTATTCTAATTAAGTAGGCAATGTATTAAAGGGGCATCGTTTTTTAATAAAAGGAAGATGAAAAGGGGTGCCTTTTCTGTGAAGATGGTACATACTCACTAGTCTGACAATCAATTTACAGTTACTCTTACTTTTCCATTAAACTTAGCACAGGAAATCATGGTCATGATCCTCCTTATAAATAACTGCAGGCTTTAGTTATTGACTTTTCTAATAAAAGCCGTACACATCGACGCATGACTTGTTAAAGGCGTTGTCGTCGTCGTTCAAATTTTTTAAATCTTCAGCGTACCAGATTCTGAACTCCTGTCCAGCACGAACGCCAACTGGGGATGAAAGGCTCAACTCGATTTCAGAGGAATTATGAGCAAACCCAGGCAGCTGGTAACATCCATGGACTGAATCTGACACATTGACAATACGGACGTTGCTGGCATCAGTGATGTGTGTACAAATTTGACCGATGTATAACGGGTGGCTGCATCCCCAATTTGTTCCTTTATCGGCCCCAGGTAAACAAGACACGGAGCCTGAGCGATGAGCTAGTTTAAACGCAGAAATGTTTCCCGCCTTATGAATTCTGAACTTGCCGTAGGAATTGTTCCTGGCTCCAAAGCACACTACCTCTGTGTTAATCTTGAACCACCCTGAAACTGGAATGAAATAGGACAACGGCCCATAAGATTCCAAGCTGGCGTTTAAATAATGAGCTTTCGTAATAGCTTGAGATAGTTTTTTTTTCTGTTTACCAGGGATAAAGAAACGTTGCATGCTGTATCTCAGACCTCTCAGACACAAATCTATAATAAGCTATACCTCACACCCTTTTAATATGAAGTACCTAGCCTGAGATACTTTTAAAGACGCAAGTTGCAGTTAGTCTGCAAAACCCTCAAGTCAAGATTAGGGGCACTTAAAGTTATTAAATTAAAAACTAATCTATTTACATTAGTGCAGATGAAATTTTTGAATCACAATAATGAGATAGAGTCACACTCGTAGAGAAAACTATTCTGCATTGTACATGCTCAGAATATAAATTTTCTTATTTGTTTTTTACCCTTTTGTAGGTAAAAATGATAATTTAACCCTATTCAGACTAGGCTTTTTTTGGTCAATCTGTGACGGGGGCTCCTCGGACCCCCCCTCTGTATCTCTGGAACCAATAATGCTAGGGTCATGAAATTTACACACAATGATCATCTCCGTACAAAGAAGCCCCGCACCCAGTTTTGACTAGCCACGCCCAATGATGACGTCACAGTGACGTCATATTCCGATTTTTCAATGTTTCCTATTATTTTTCCACTTAGATACGTAAAATATCAATAATATTGGTAAATTCATCTCTTTGTCATCCTTTCTTATGAACTAGTAACAAGGAAACACTTGTACAGCGAGAAAAAGCAATAGGAAGCAATAACATTTAAAATTTGAAATGGTTGTCCGCCATCTTGGATCCTCCATCTTGGATTTTCGTTTTTTTGTTAAAATTATAATTTAAAGCAACTTTCAAAGGGGAAAAAAGCTCAGAATGTATAAAAGAAGTATCAAACTAATGTTTATTACCCAAACAAATGACTTTCGAAGTGTTATTTTATTTGGAAAATAGAGCAGCATATTTGTCAAAGCAAAAAAGTGACAAATTTTACCCCACCCCTCCCCCCCCAAATATTCAATGTTGAAACATTTTGATGTAATTCAAAAACTAGTCCCAAGCAAAGACCATTTTAACAACAAAAAGCACTATAAGTGTAAAAACGCGATCTTAAAACAAAAAAAAATCACCATTTTTTAAATTTTCCAAAACCTATGTGTCAGAAACTGGTTGCCATGGCAACATGATTAATCACATGGACATGGTAATTATACCAAAATGTTTTAGGAAAAGTCAGAAAATTTGAACGTCATAGCTCTTTCGGTGTAGGAGTTATCACGAATTTTGCCGGAGGGGGGGTTTGAAAAGCCCCCCCACAGTCTGAATAGGGTTAAACGGAAAGACTAGGAAAACGTGTTAAAGCTTTATGAAGTCCTCAGATTCAGGTAATCAACCCCATTGAACTAGCCCTCGGTCTTCAAGTGTTTATTGGAAAATCATAAGCACCTGTAGAGTACGCTAATCTATCGATATTCGTCGAGAAAATTTGGTTTTAAGTCCATGAGACCATGAGACAGTTCATGACAGTTACATTCTTAATGTACAACATGACAGGGTGTGTCATTAAACTCCAAGAATTCATGTTCAGACTGAATGTAAATTTTGCCACATATGCTTTAATTGAGGGAACGAAAATGACGTCAGCCGATTGGCCTTATATCTTTCGTTATTTTGCTAAAGTCTGGTTTTCACTAGCACATAAGTATAAGCATAAACACATACGCACGCGCAGAATGGCATATTATGACTCAATTCTCGATACCACTGAGCTTCCCTCAACTCGGGGATAAACAAGATGGCGGACGTTTCGTCCGGCATATTGCCTTTGATATGTTGGCATGAGGTCTGGGTCAAAGTGGCCTATGATTGGCCCATAGCCTTGTGCTTATGCTTGTGCTTATGTCGACCCCGTTTTCACTAGTCAAAGCTACGACATAAGCATAAGCATAAGCACAAGAAGAACGAACTTTTTCTTGTGCTTATACTTATGCCGACCCAGTTTTCACTTGCTTACTCATGTGCTTGTGCTTTTGCTTATGCGTATGCGGTAGTGAATACCAGGCTTAACCAACATGAGGGTGTAGAGGTCCGGGGGTCCTTCCTATGGTGTCCTTTACAAGGAGGCTCCGGTCAAAATGAGTACCCTTTTCATTCAGGTATATAAAAGGGTACGGACTCTCACGAGTTAAAGTATATGAAAAGGACAAGATAATCTGTCACAGACCCACCTTATATGTTATCCCGAATTATAGTTCATTTATTTTATTCCAAAGTCATTTTTTTTATTCCAAAGGTTTGGAAAAGGAACGCAGTCTCTTCGGGACAAATCTAATTTAAACATCGGATAAGAAAATTATCCGAAATCTGTTACGTTTTTTTTTTTTTTATAGGGACCTGATCATGAGCGCTGGTCACGTGAACCCTTTTTCCATGTGACTAGCGTGTTGATCCGGGCTGATGTTGATTGGTGAGAGTTATCGCATTGTTTTATGACAGGGAGAACACAGAACTTGTGAGTATTTGGTTCGTTTTTTCAGTTCTATTTGGCTCTCTACCAACATCTTTTGTATTTTTATTTTAGTTTTCACGTTCGAGTAGAAAAAAATCTGTGCTTCTCCCCAACATCGGTGAAGAAAGTTCTATTGGAATTGCATGTTTTCAAGTGTGATCGATGGATGATTCGAAGAAATTGGACTTCGGCTTCGACAGTGGTCGTAGTATGAGTTTGGACTACGCTGGATCTGGAATGGATCGTTGATTGCCCGATTTTTCGATTCAGTTACCCGTGGTTTCAACTCGGAGCGATATTTATTTATCTTCTTGTGTTTGTACGAATGTCTTTTCACAGCCATTGAGCGCTTCGCAGGAAGGCGATGGCTATCATTTTCGTCTCAGGCCCCCGCCGACTACTCGCGTTGAATTTTTGGAATCGGATCTGAAAAGGGACTCACGGGACCGGCGGAGTGCGGCAATGCAGTGGTCAAATATTAGCGAGGAAATAGACAGTTTATTAAAGGAACGTCTGAAATTCATGGAACACTGAGTCCAGAGGAAGGTACGAAATCTGTTCACTTGCTCTTGGAAAAATGGGACAGGCTTGAGGGACTTCATGGGAGGTACCTTGCAGGAATTAACGAGAGAAAATGCTTAGAACATGTACAAGAACGTTATTCTACTCTGAAACGTGAAATGGACGATATTATCAATGAATGTGAGGGTTTGTTTAGAAGACCAGACTCCCGGCATCGTGAACTTGGAATGGACCGCGGACTAGTAGTCTGGGATCCGAAACACGATGACAATAAGTTAGTGCACAGCGTTGCTACTCATTTTACCAAACATTCTGAGGCATTATCAGTTTCCTCACAGAAGAAATCACTAAAGAAGGCACTGGTGTCCAAAATGAAACAAGACTTAGCAAGAGCTACGGCAAAGGAGGATGCAGAAGCAGCAAAAGTGGCTCATGGATATAAGCAAAGGATGGAACTTAGACGCCTTGAAGAGGAAGCAACATTGGCTGAGCTTGAATGGAAAATTGAAATGGATAACTTGACGGAGAGTAAACTCTCCCCGGTTGTATCTAGCGCCTTGAACACGTCTACGTTTATTGTTAACAAGCAATCACACTCCACCTCCGTCCCGTCTGAGTATGTTACTAGAGATGGGTTTAACAGTCAACTGAGTGCCGTGTATGTGATTTCCAATTGAGAACCTCAATCCACGGAGCCAAATTATCCAGCAATTTCAAGACCGTCAGACACGATGTTGCCCCACAATGAATCGTCTGTGAAGGGATTAAACACCACCACTCCCTCTGTGGGGATTAACTCGACCCAGTCCCCTGAACGTGTTAACTTCGGGAGGTCGCACACCGTCTCCAGCATAGACCAGGCTCCTCGTGATCATGTTGTATGTTGTGGAAGGCACAATTGCTTAGCGGAATGAAGGCGACACAGTTCAGTGGTAATCCAGCCGAGTTCCCCCTTTTTCGTGAACAAGTTCGTACGCACCTCGAAAGGGACCTGCTTACTGATGCCCAGCAAGTGGAGTATCTGCCTAAATTCGTAGCGGGAGAAGCGTTAAAGGTTGTGAAGCGTAACAGAGGTTGTACGTTTAACGAGATTATGAAAACGTTGGAAGAACGTTTTGGCCAAGCGGTGAGAGTGACGCAAGCATGTGTGGAAGAACTCTCATCTGGCCCCAAGTTGGCCTACGGCGACAACATTGGTCTTCTCAGTTTCTCTGAGAACTTAAATGCAGCCACAAGGATCCTCAAGGGAGTCGTTGAACGCGAGGTGAGCGTAGCGATGAGCCTCAGGCGTATAGTAAACCGTTTACCTAACGACTTAATCTTGAAGTGGCAAACCGTGAACTACGAGCTTGTGAAGTCCGGAAGATCCGCTCGATTAAAGAATGTCGCTGAATTTGTGCACAAACAAGCGTTTAGCGTTTGCGGAATTTGCAAATCAAGTAAGCCTCACAAACTCCAATAATGCCCTATTATCAAACAATGCGAACACGTGGCAGTGCGAAGACAGTATGCGGCATCCTGTAGATTTTGTTTTAATTGTGGTCTTGAAAAGCCCGGACACGGTTCTGGCTCCCGTCCGGAACCCACCAGCACATTCAGTATGTTCCGGTCGAAACATTCGTCCTCTGCACTCTGAAAGTAATTATGGTGGTCGCCGCTTCATCCCACGGAATAACAGAGAGTCTAATGATAAGTCTGACAAGCCATTGGCGACGCCTAAATCCCCAAACAGCGGAAGGGGAAATGTCACTCCAACCGCGAGCGAAGACAAGTCTGACAAGTCTGTAAGAAAGGTACCAATATCGTCCGCGACTGTGCAAGCGAAAGTGCTGTTGAACGTTATACCTGTTGTTGTTTCTGCTGAGAATGGTAACACTGTATCCACTTATGCCTTCTTAGACAGTGGCTGCACTGACACCCTCGTTAAACAAGATTTAGTTGATCACCTTGGTATTCAAGGAACACTCGTCCAAATCGGAATCAACACGATCTCAAGTAATGACAATGTGGTAAAGTCGAAACGTGTGTCCTTTACCTTGACTTCGGTAGATAGTTCCGGGGAGAGTATTGACGTTTCGGAGGCGTATGTCCTACCTAACCTCAACCAGTCGCGCTGTACTAGTCCGGAGCAGATTGACACTATTGAGTACCCGCACTTACGTGACATGAAGTTCCCGGAGGTTGAGATCAGGAGAGTCTCTATACTTGTTGGAAACAATATTCCCTACGCACATTTACAGAAGGAAGTTGGAGTCCCTGAAGATAAGAAGAAAGGGCTCTATAGCTGTCGTTATCCCTTGGGCTGGTGCGTTTGTGGTCCTTGTGGTGTCAATTGTCGCCAAGGGGTTTCAGGAAACTTTATCTCGATTGACCCTGAACCGCGTTTTCTCATTGAAAAATTTTGGAATCTGGAGGATTATGGGGCAGTGAAATCAAATGAGAAACCCCTCTCGGTGGAAGATAAAATAGCCGTGAAGATAATTGAGAACACCACCCGCTGTGTGGACGGTCGGTATGAAGTCGGTATGCTGTGGAAGGAGAAAGAACGCCACTTTCTGAATAATGTAGCCATGGCCAAGCACCGTCTACAGTGCCTGAGATGCCGTCTTACGAAACCTGGCAATGTTGAAATGGCCGTTAAGTACCGCGAAGTTATGGATAGTTATACCAGCAGTGGATTCACCCGCAAGTTGTCAGAAGAAGAGTTAAACAAAGAGTCTAAATACGCATTGGTATCTTCCGCATCACCCTATAACGAGTCCTACCAAACCAGGCAAGGTGCGCATTGTGTTCTATGCAGCAGCTGAATGCGAGAGAACTTCGCTTAATAAGAACTTGCTGACTGGACTTGGTTGGTGTTCTCGTACATTTCCGCCAGGGAAAAATAGCGTTCGCTGCTGAAATCGAAAAGATGTTTCATCAGAAACGTGTGCGCGAGGAAGACCAGGATTCCTTGAGGTTCCTGTGGTGGACACACGGATATGATAATCCCCCTGATACATACGTCATTCAAGTGCGTATTTTCGTAGCGGCTTCCTCCCCCTGTATTGCAAACTCAACTTTGCGCCGTGTGGCCGACGACAATGCCGAAGAGTACAGCTCTAGAGTTATTACAGCAGTGAAAAAGAATTTCTATGCTGACGATGCTCTTCCCTCTGAGAATGATGAACAGTCCGCAATTCGCCTAGCCCATGTCATGGTAGAACTGCTCGCTCCAGGCGGATTTAACTTGATTACGTTTACGTCGAACTCCAAGAGACTACTAAGTGCTGTCCCAATTGATACGCGATCTAAGCCAGACTTTGCATTTGTTGCAGCAAAACAGCTCATTCTGAACTCACAGACACTGATACATTATGATCATACCTTACCCCTCTTTCTTTCATGTGATGCCTCATCTTATGGCGCTGGAGCGGTCCTGTCTCATCAAAGTGATGGACAATTTCGACCAGTGGCTTTTGCTTCTTGCACTTTGACTCCTGCTCAACAAAACTATCCTCAGCTAGAAAAGGAGGCCTTCAGTATCATCTTTGGATTAAAGAGATTCCGACAGTATCTCTAAGGTCGCTCCTTTACAATTTTAACTGACCACCGACCTTTGCTAACTCTCTTGGGTCCTCAGCGACCGGTTCCTGCTCATGCTGCAGCCCGACTTCCAAGATGGGCTCTTATCCTTACTTCATACAATTACAAGATTGCACCAGCAATGGAATACTGCACCGTACTTCAGCGGTGTGCAAGCCATCTACAAATGGTCAAGCAGAACGTGTCGTACAGATTTTGAAATCAGCTATTAAACAAGCCCACCTTACTAATGCAGACGTAGACACTGTTATTGCAAATCATTTATTGGTTTACCGGACCACGCCTCATTCCACCACAGGTGAACCACCCTCACTGCTTCTCATGGATCGGAGACTGCGCAACCGGCTAGATTTGCTGACACCTTCACTTGAAACACATGTTGAGGCTCGCCAATGCAGTACCATGGTGAGTCGTACAGCACATAGAGGTCTCCGCAAATTCAATGCCGGTGATTCTGTTCTGGCTCGAAATTTTGGAAGGGGAGGAAAATGGGTGCGTGGAGTAGTTACTGAAGCCCTTGGGTCTCGTCATTATATTGTCAAGGTGGCAGGTAATCGGTGGAAACGACACATAGACCAGCTGCTGAGACGCCCTGCAGATGTGGCTTCGACGCGTGGTTTTTCAGCATCCAACTACCAGTCTATGCCGCTGGATTTATCTCCTGATATGGATCAGCCTTATGAGATTGTTCCTGACTCAACTATACCGTCTACTTATATCCCTCCTACAGCAACACTGGATGAGTCCATTTTGGCCAGCACTGGAGATTCTCCTGTTCCAAACAAGCAACCAGCAGTGTCGATGCCTGTTACTGATCCCCCCGTCATTTCGCAACCTGCTACCTTGCCAGAGACCTCGCCAGAGATTTCTGATGCTGCTAATGTCGATGACACTCTGGTAGTTCAACCGAATATCCTGCGGATGCAGAAAAACGTTATCCTACTCGGACAACCCGTAGGCCCCCAAGACACTTGAAAGATTACGAGTTAAAGTGATGGCTGTAACAGACTCAGAACCTTTTGCTTTTTTTATTATGTATTTTCGCATTCTATTTTTCTCTTTAAAAAAAAAGGGAGATGTTATATCGTGACTTTGTTTTGTTATTGTTGTGTTACATTGTACTAAGTTACGTCATAGTCGTGTTACGTGTACATGGATGCGCTTGCGCGGTGAGTGAGAACTAGGAATAAAACAAGACCAGAATGTTCATGTTCAGTGCTCGAGTTGTTTCATAATTTCGTCCTTGGATTTCTAAGTTACAACATTAACAAATAGAGAATACTTCATGGAAAGTGGTGGCGTACGGTATTTACGCACGAGTTGTTGACGTATCAGAAATCGAACGAGTGAGGGCAGCGAACGAGTAAGATTTCTGATACAAAAATAACGAGTGCGTAAATACCGTACAAAGCACTTTCCATGTGGTATTGTGTTTATTATATACATACCGAGACATTCATCATTTTGGCGGCCTTTTTATTTTAAATCTTTCAAAAATGCTTATTTGCCGCTGCACACTTACCGCAAAATGACAACGAAAACGAAGTATCAGCTTTTTAGTAAAAACGTTTGTTAAAAACATAAATGACGATAAGGATATGAGGTAATCCAAGAAATATAAGTAATATTAACTGTTTGTTCTCAATGCACAATTGAAAATGAGTGAATTTAAGTAAAATGGCCTGTTTCAATATAAGCTTAAGCTTAAATGAAAGGCAAAGTAGCTCCGACAAAAAGCACAACAAAAGCTTACGTCTCGTCCTGTTTTTCCCTTTCCGCTGTTGTTTCGCCGGCAGTCTACCCTTTTCCTTATCGACAGTGAAACAAACGAAACTATTCCACTCCATTTCCGAAATGTTTTTCACTTTGAGTAAAACTTTTCTCGTTGAATGTGTGCGAAACGGCGCTGCAAGCAGCAATAAAAGGCGGGAATTTTGGCGCAAAAATAACACACCTCTGTGGCCTCTGATTGGACGTATCATTTTTCTCACACGTGAAAAAACATCGTTCGCGATTCTGATTGAAGGTATCATTTTTTTCACGTGTGAAAACCATCGTTCGCTCCTCTGATTGGCTAGAACTAATTTGCGTACGAAAATTTACGACATAGCTTTTTGGTGAGTATTTCTCAGTATGTATATAATAAATGATTTTATAACATAACAAAAGTAAATCGCGCGCTCTGATTGGTCAGTTAGCTGCTACCATTTGCCCGTGGGTGCACGCCAAGAAACTGAGCTAGCGCGGTAAAATTTAGGCAAATTCAACAAATCTCCTCTCCTGACTGTAAAATACACCGATGAAATGCTCAGATGAAAAGTGGAAGTTGAAGAAAGTACGTTTTGAAGGAAACAAGACGAAAGATCATGCGACAAATTTGCCCTGGATGAATTAATCAATGTTTTCCTCGCAGCTAGAATTGGTCTGAAGGAAAATCGAACGAGCGAAGATGCAAGGTACATTTTGTGTGTTTTTTTTATAGAAGAGAAAGTCTGTTTGAAATGTAAATTTATCAATTAGCATTGTGTTATTGACTTTTTGGTGAAGCTGATGCTAAATTCAAGCAAATATTTTAGGAAACACGCTCAAATTCGAGACAGCTTTGTTGTGAAGTTTTCATCGCATCGATTAAAAATTTTAGTTGAGTTTAAACGGGCACATTACGCTGGAATAAGCAAATTTAATTTGATTACAGAAACAACTGGGTTTTCAAATAAATTTTTCAAAAATAACTTCTGTGTGTATTATTTTGTTCCTCAGTGTTCATTCATAACAGTCGTTCAGAGAACGGTCGAAAAACAACAGCTTCATCGCCGGCTGTGTGTCGGCGAATTTCAGTTGCAACTTTGCCTTTCATAGCTGGATTTCCACAGACAGATTTCGATACAAAGCTAGTTAATTTCTTTTTAAAATTAGTGTTACCTATTATTCTAAAGGAATTACAGTCAAATTTTCTCAATTCTACTTTATGTTTATTCCAAAAATTGGCACATAAATAAGCTTGATAATTATTTCATCTATTTAGTTTTGGCTTATTGTAACATGATTGTTTACGCGCGGTCAGATGGCAGCATACATGAACTCGTACCGATGACTCAACCGAAGGCAAATGGAAAATAATGTTTTTCTCATTTGATTATGTTATAAAAGAAATGGTAAACGTTGCAGCTGTGCAACCATGGAGTTATGGATGCACTTGGGAGGTTTGCTAAGCACTCAAGAAGCTAGAGTCGCACTCGGCTATCGCCTCGTACGACTCTTACGCTTCTTTCGTGCTTAGCAACCTCCCGCGTGCATCCATAACTCCATGGTTGCACGCTGCACGTTTATCATTTCTTAATTTCCCAGAGACCATTCGGTGGCCAAGTTGATTGTTCGTCACGTTCACCACCTTATTGGTCACTTGGGACGCGAACATGTTATTGCAAAGTTTCGGGAAGATTTCTGGATCCCTCAAGTGCGTGTATTGGTTAGATCGGTCCTTAATCGCTGCCTTACCTGCAAGAAACTTAACGCCAAACCTATGACCCAGCAGATGGCGCCCTTACCCAAGTGTCGACTTACAGCCTATAAGGCACCGTTTTCGTTCTCTGGTAAGGACCGCTTTGGCCCGATTTATGTGAAACATGGCCCAGGGACCGCGAAACGGTGGTGTTGCTTGTTTACCTGTTTAACCACCCGTAGCGTGCATCTTGAAGTGTTTAATTCTATGGATACTGATGAGTTCATTATGTGTTTAAGGCGTTTTATAAATCGAAGGGGAGACGTGAAAGAGTTACGATGTGACAACGGTTCTAACTTCGTTGGGTCTCAACGAGAATTGAAGAAGAGTCTCCGGGAATGGAACCAAGGGCAGATAGAGAGAGAGAGCTGATACAACGAGGCTGTAAATGGATATTTCAACCCCCCACTGCGTCAAGTATGTCTGACGTGTGGGAACATATGGTTCGAAGTGCAAAGACAGTCTTAAAGTCCATTTTGGGGGCGCAACCTGTGACAGATGGGGTTCTGCGAACACTCCTTACTGAGGTTGAGCGTATCCTTAACGGAAGAGCCCTCACAGCGAACTCGGACGCTCCGAACGATCTCCAACCGCTGACACCGGCCCACCTATTGATGCAGAGGAAGATCATCTGTTTCTCTCCTGGAGTCTTTGAGAAGACTGACATTTACAGAAAGAAGTGGAGGCAGGTTCAATTTTTGACCAATTTGTTTTGGGAAAGGTGGTCGAAGGAGTACATCCCAACCCTCCAACAACGAGGTAAATGGCGAAGAGTGCTGTCTTATATCAAACCTGACGCCTTGGTTCTGCTTGTTAACGATAACAGCCCCAGAGGGCATTGGAATCTCGGCAGAGTGTTGGAGATGTACTCGGGTCCAGATGGTCTAGTACGGACTGTGAAGGTGAAGACTTAGGACGCTATCCATGTTCGTTCTATACAGAAGTTGTCCTTACTTAAAAACGATGTGAAAGAAGTAGATACGATGTAGATGCTGAATTTAACTGTTGTTCTGTTCGTTCTACCCGATCGCCCTAAGGCAGCCGGGATGTTCGGGACAAATCTAATTTAAACATCGGATATGAAAATTATCCGAAATCTGTTACGTTTTTTTTTATATATAGGGACCTGAGCGCTGGTCACGTGACCTCTTTTTCCATGTGACTAGCGTGTTGCATTGTTTTATGGCAGAGAGAGCACAGAACTTGTGAGTATTTGGTTCGTTTTTTTCAGTTCTGTTTGGCTGTCTACCTACATGTTTTGTAATTTTATTTTAGTTTTCACGTTCGAGTTGAAAACATCTGTGCTTATCCCAAACACAGTCACTGTGTTCCAGGCATGTGAAAGGGGTAGCATTTTTAAACTGAGGGTGTATTGAAGGGCTACGGTCAAAAATTCCGAAAGTATGTAAAAGGGTAAGGGGTTTTGGAAATGGGAGCGGAGCCTCCCCATAAACCCGCCTTATGAAAGGTTGTTGAGTGACCCCCTCGAGCGAAGTTCTAAAACTACCATCTTCAATATTCCGAAAAAAATCCCATGCATTTCTTGGTGTATGAGAATGCCCTTTTTATAGTTAATAATGCGGTTTTTTTTATTTAATGAAAGAGAGATTTCAGAGCCATTCACATTGTTTTTGTACATTTTGAAGATCTCCTGATTCGGCTATGTTCGAGCAAGCAAAAGGTCGATCAGATGATGACTAAATATAACGTCTAAGTCATTACCTTCACACACGAAGTCATTTTTATCATACAGTGGGCGACATGGTCCACCATCTTGGCAAGGAGAACTGTCACATGGGCTCTGAGGTGCAAAGAACAACTATATCAATGCAAAAGTAGGTTGTCATAAGCCGCGCATTTATAACGACTTTAATTAAAACTCGAAAGAAAAGGTCTATTAGCTGACGATAATGAGTGTCGGTTTCATATGTGAGTGTTGTTTTATCTACCAAACGTCTCCTTGTACTTTTCATCAAAAAGATTTATCGAACGGGAAAAGTGTATCGGAATAGAAAGGTCGTGTAGTTAATTCCAGGTGTTTCTGGGCGGTGCGAACTATTTTAGTTTATCTCACTTTCGTGTATTGGAGTTCATTTATTAACCAGGCTCCGGTTGTTGAAACGTTGGAGAGAGTTATCCACCGTATAAATCACTATCCAGCGGATAAGTATTACAGAAACGAAATGCGTTATCCAGTGGAAAGAGATTTATCCAGTGGATAGCGTTATCCAGCTTTTGAACAACTAGGGCCAGTAAAATAGCTTCATTTATCCTACCGCAATAGTGAAGTGGTGAAACTGATCACTCCGCACGAAGGCACTGGAGTGGTTGTACTTGTCTGTAGATAGCAAATGGCAAACGTGAAGTGTGGATCTGCTGTTCGGCAAAATGGCAAAATTGAATGACAAGCACGCCACGTTAGCAAGGCACTGGAAGGCACAGTCAGTGGAGTCGATGACATTCACGGTGGACAAAACTTGGGAAATTTTTAGCATGTGCTTGAGAAATTCCTTGAAGTTCGCAAATTGCAGGTGTTCTTGTTCGCCTCTTTGAAGCTGTTCATTCGAAAATGAAAATAGTTAACAATTGTTGGACGAGGTTGAGCAAAATATCGTAATTTGTCACTGGCGAGCAGATGATCAATTATTTGCCGAAGCCAAAAACTTAGGCAAATAATTGATGTGCGAGACACTGGCAAATCACGCTACTCTGTGATAACCGAGTTCAATAATTGTTTTATCATTCGATCACCAAGTTTGTTTTTTTTAATGAATGTTTTCGGGAAGCGAAGCGATCTGCCTTTTTTCACACAAGAACGTTATCACGCGTGGTTTCGTTTACGCATGAGCAGAATATTATTTGCAGCCAAACACAGTTGAACGACATTGCGCATGAACAGACCATTATTTGTAGGCAGTTATTTGCAGGTCACGTGGTGGGCTTTCAGCCAATGAAAAGGAAGAAAAAATTGCATCGAATGATAATTAATTTTGTTACCAAATGCATTGTATTTATTCATAGTCTCTGCTTTGCCAAACTTAAAGTAATGAACAAGACTTTGTTAATAATATTCTCGAAATTTTTGCAAAATTGTGAAATATTTAATGATCACAAAATTCCGTATAAATACCTTTAGTAGTGGTAATTAAATTAATAAATGAAGTTTGTTTAAGTTAATTTTGTGAAGAAGATTTTAATTATAAAATTATCTCTAATAATGGTTACTGGGGCACCTGTTCCTGTTATTGTTTAAACACAAGAGAAAATGAGTCAAACACTTTCTATTTTCTTGGCTAAACTGCGAAACTGCTGCACATGCTTTTACCAAAGCAAAAGAGCCTGACAGCGGCTGCGCCGTTGAAAATTGTTCAATTCTTTTTATTTTATTTTTTTTAATTTTGCTGTTTAAAACTTTTAAGTTTAAGTTTTATTGATATAATACATAATCTGTATATATATATATAGTCCAATCACACATGTAAATGATTGGAAAAAATGTTTATCTATAACGGCTTCGAAAGCAACCTTGTGCTAGGCTATTCTAGCTCGCTTTCCAGATCCCAGGTTTGATCTGGGCTTACAAGTGCCTCAGTGGTGGGACAACATACAGGCCATCGATCGATGAAGAGTGTTTCTTTTTAGTACTTAAACCAACAAAATCTAGTTCTCCAGTCCTTCTCAGAGTAATGCGTTTTGAAAATTCACAATCAAACAATTTCAACCCTGAATTCAGAAGAACTCCCTTCCTTGAGACTGCTTCAAAGATTTCTGTTGAATTTTCGTGGCACATCCTGATTATATCAATAAAACCTGACACCAGAATTTTTAGGTAAAACGTAACAGCAAAATGTCCACTGGACACGATTTGCTTGAAAAATTGGTGTCTGCTAGAAACATATAATTATACATTTTATATCATTAGTGAAATCTAATTCCTTTATATAATTAATTCCTAAATCTAGCTATCTATCAACAGGTATCTCAGCGTTTCGCAGCCTTTAAACCAAAAGAGCTAATAGACCGAGGATTGTGGTAGATCGCTGCTACAATGGAACCTCCTCAAAGTACCTTTTTGGTTTTGTTTTGTTTTTTGTCCATCTCTTTTTGGCTAAAAAACTAAGTCAGCGTTAAGGCATAGAACGTTTGGCCTAGTAAAGGCATATATTTCTTTCATCCAAATCAAACAGGAAGAATAATAAACCAAATTCTGAAAAAATGCAGGGCTTTTTTTCATTGAAACGTTTAGTGGCTCTTTATGGTCTGGAATTCATCCGACTTCTGTTAGTTGCACATATAAAGCACTTGTATTGATTATTTATCTTTTCAGTTTTCACGAATGATAGCTCACCTGTGCATTGTATTTTGCGATGTGGATAAATGTAATAAAAGTAAGAACGATCTAAGCGATTGCTACCTTCAGCGACATTTCCTTGGAAGTATTCAAACGCCAGCACCAGTTTTTCAGAATTGGAATCAGGCAATTTAAGGCATGAAAGAACTTGATATAGCACCAAAAGTCCATGAAATTGGATCCAGGGTGTGGCTTACATTTAATAAATTTTAGTTTAGAGTTACATTAAACCGTCAGGAACTACAAACAAGAGCCCCATGCTGTATTGAATTATTGCTAAGAAAAAATTAAAGCAATTCTGTTAGTAGGAAATCGTCAAGGTAGCAAAAAAATCGTAAATTTTGTAAACTATTACACAACCTGCTGGACGCTGTTTTCGACAAGAAAAATTGTAAAAACTATATTTGCTTGCAAAAGAAAAAAAGTGTACAGTAGTTCGTCCACTTATTAAAAATTTTCAGAATCCTCGAACAGATTGGAGGCATGATATCTTTTGAAATTTGAAGTGGACATGATGCACACAACTCAATGTTCTACTTGTATAATGGAAGTCGTGTTCTTGATCTCTTTGAAAACAAAACTATTTTAATTTATCAATCTGTCTTCACCCAAATTCCCTCCTCTTTGTGTCACAGTGGTTTGATTACGCTGTCGCAAACAAACCAATTCAGTGAAAGTTGTATTGTCATTAATATTGGATACCCTGAAATTAATCAACCAACTATTTGGGACAGATTTTTTAAGTCGACTCGATGCATGCAACTAAATGTTCTTCTCATGAGTCGTTGTATAATGAATGTCGTGTCCTTGATCTCTTTGAAAACAATTTACCTTAATTTTTAACCAACGCGCCTTCACCCAAATTCCCGCCTCTTCGTGTTTTAATTACGCTGTTGCAGACAAACCATATTGAATGAAAGTTGCTTTGTCATTAATATTGGTTACCCTGAATTTAATCAACCAACTATTTGGGACAGATTCATTTTGGCCGTTGGAATTATATGCATCTAACACAATTAAAAATTCCAGCGGGCAAATGCGACGACTTAACACATTTCCTGTAAATGAGAAAATGACTCTAGCCTTAAATTGCTAACAGAGTTGTTTTTCTCCATCACTAATTTTGCACATAATTTTGGGGGGAAAGGAGGTTGGGGAGGAACATTTATTAAAAGCATAATGATAAAAAAAAAAAAAAAATCGAAGCCCATTAGTTAAAAATCGTAATTTTCACAGCTTACAGGCAAAAATTTGTAAAATGATTAATTGTAAATTAAGCTACAGTAAAACGTGCCAGCCTAAGCGTAAGTGAATCTAGTGATATACAGAACCTTCATTTTTTCCACTTAGTCAATTTATATTAAACAAAAAGTTCAAACACGAGCTGACATATTGAATTTGTGTCAAAAAAGCGTTAAAATGATAAATTAAAAAAAAAAAATACAGGAAGAAACAGCGTTCAGTACGATATCTAGGCATCGAGAAATTAATATAAGAAAGGGGGAAGCGTAATCGGGTATTTTTTTTTTTACCAATTTTGACAGAACTGACAGACTTGACAGAACTGTTTGTATGAAAATTTTTGGGTGATCAAAAATTCTAGAAGACGCAAATTAGTAACTGATATTCAAACTTTCTTCACGGCTCGTGATGTCCTTTGTTTTCTTTCCATGAATTATTGCTAAGTTCGAGGAACCACCGTCATGAATACAACTTAACTATTCAGACAAAATGACAGGTGAAAGTTACCCGGCCAGTAGCTATGCAGGCCTTTCAACAATGTCGTATTACCAGAAATTTCGATTAATAATTAGAATTATCTAAAAGAAACACAACTTTAAAGCTTCGTGGTACTCTTGCTATCATCTCCGACGTAACAGTTTTTATTTTGTTAATATAATATTATTATTATTATTTTCATAATGAGGCGTTCAAGCCCTTATGTTTTCATATTTGCTCTTAGAGAGATCAGCTTTTCTCGGAAAGATAATCAAACTCCTAGTTTAGTAGGTCTATGCCGGGCAGCCTCAAGATCTAAAACTAAATTGCTATCGAGAGCAAGGGCTCTGGGATTAGCGTTGAATAGTAGCGAAAAATGTCAAATGTGCGAATTCCACAATATTCCAGCGAATTATGTTCATCGAGCATTGCATATGCTCGCAACAGTTACCCAGATCTCGCCTGTACCAGATTCCTTCAAGTTATTAGAGATAATTTATGGGTATAAATCGATTCTTTCTTTATATTTATTCTCCGTTTTCAATAGGCCATAATGTACCTTCTTTTTTTTAGATCTTCCTACCCCCCGGAAAAAAAAAAGATTGCATATTACCATTTTCTCCGATTTCTCTTGGACGACTAGTCATACATGTATTCAGCAAAAAAAGTTGAGTCGAGAGTTTAATACGAAAAGGAAGAGCGTTCGGTACAATATTCGATATTTAGGCATAAAGATGTTCATCAAACTTGGGGGAAGACTTCAATTTATACGAAATTATTAATGATAAAGGAAGTGGTAATGTTTTTGTTCCCGATATTTCTGAATCCGCACAATATTTCTATACCTGAATCGGCCTTACTTCCATCCACATAAAACCAGTGAAGCCGCTCAGCTCCAGAGTGTGACTGTGTTTGGTGTTGCTTTATTTTATTTATTCATACAATTTTTTGTTGAAACCGAGTATTTTACACACGAATCTGCTGAAACTGTATACGAATATTTAGTTCCACAATTCGTGCGGTGGTTCTCTCAGGTTTGAAATCACCCAAAAAGAGAAGCTAAAGAGAATTATAAATTAGAAAATGACGGTTTTCAATTTCGCTGACGCTTATTTCCAAACTTGAATTGCACACATGGAAATCAATTTTTGATAACCCAATTTGTCAGTTTAGAAATATCCAGATTGTGGAATTGTTATGTATCTATAACGGCTTCGAGGCCAGCCTCGTGTTAGACGACTCTAGATCTCTAGATTCTAGGTTTGACCAGGGCTTACAAGTGCCTCAGTGGTGGGAAACATATATAATTCCATTGAAGAAGAGTGTGTATTCTTTATACTCGTCCCAAAATATCTAGTTCCTGAGTCCTCCTCAGAGTAACGCGTTCTGAAAATTCACAAACAATTTCAACGCTGAATTCAGAAGGGCTCTCTCGTTCGAGACTGTTTCAAAGATTTCTGTTGAAATTTCGTGGCACACCCCAATTATATCAATAAAACTTGATACCAGACATTTCAGGAAAAAAATAACAGCAAAGTTTTTCACTAGACACGATTTTCTTGAAAAGTGGGCTCCGCTAAATATAACTATGCAAAAAAACATATAATTATATATCATTGTTTAAATCGAATTCCTTTATATAATTGCTGTCTATCAGCAGGTATCTCAGAGTTTCGCAACCTTTAAACCAAAACAGCTTTGAGACCGAAGATTGTCGTAGATCGCTGCTTCTGTAATAACAATGGAACCACCTCAAAGAACCTTTTTTTGTTTTGTTTTTGTTTTTGTTTTGTTTGTTTTCTTTTTTTCATCTCTTTTTAGCCAAAGAAATAAGTCTGTATTAAAGAATAAAATTTTTGCCTAGAGACATAGATTTCTTTCATGCATCAAATAGGAAGAATGATAAACTAAACTCTAAAAAATTGCAGGGCTGTTTTTTCATTGAAACGTTTAGTGGCCCTTTATAATCTGGAATTCATCCGACATCTGTTAGTTGTAGCAAACTCGAACTTAACCTACATTCAATATGAACTATTAGTGGCTTTTAATATATAAAAACACTTCTATTGACTACTTATCTTTTCAGTTTTGACGAATAATAATAGCTCACCTGTGCATTATATTATGCGATGTGGATAAATGCAATACAAGTAAGAACGATCCAAGCGATTGTTGCCTTTAGCGACATTTCCCTGGAAGTATGCAAACGTTGGCACCAGTTTTTCAGAATTGGAATCAGGCACATTTAAGGCGCGAAAGAAATTAATATAAAGCCAAAAGTCCCTAAATTTGATCCAGGATGTGGCTTATATTTAATAAATTTTAGTTTAGAGTTACATTAAACAGGAACTTTAAACAACAACTCCATCGTGCATTGAATTATTTTCAAAAACGCAATTCTATTAGCAAGAAATGGTCGAGGTAGCAAAAAAAAAAATCACAAATTTCGTACACTACGTAACCTGCTAGTCGCTGTTTCCCGACAAGAAGAATTGTAAAAACGTTATTTGCTTAAAAATGAAAAAAAATGAAAAAATAAATAAATATAACAACAGTAATTCGTTAAAAATGGAATCTAGTATATATTCTTTTGAAATTTGAAGTGGACATGATGAACACAACTAAATGTTCTACTCATGGATCGCTGTATAATGAATGTCGTGTTCTTGATCTCTTTGAAAACAATTTACCTTAATTTTTAACCAACGCGCCTTCGCCCAAATTCCCGCCTCTTTGTGTTTTGATTACGCTGTTGCAGACAAACCATATTTAATGAAAGTTGCATTTTCATTAATGTTGGTTACCCTGAATTTAAGAAACCAACTATTTGGAACAGATTCATTTTGCCCGTTGGAATAATATGGATCTAACGCAATTTAAAATTCCAGCGGACAAATGCCATGACTTAACGCTTATGAGCTGTAAATGAGAAAACGATTCCAGTCTTAAATTGCTAACAGCTGTTTTTTCTCCATCACTAATTTTGCGTATAATTTTAGGGGTGGGGAGGAGGTTGGGGAGGGGCATTATTAAAGCATAATTATAAAAAAAAAATTGAAGCCCATCAGTAAGAAATCGTAATTTTCACAGCTTACCAGAAAAAATTTCGCTAGAGTAAAACGTGTTACCCTGAGAGTAAGTGAATCTAGTGATACACAGAACCTTCATTTTTTCCACGTAGTCAATTTATCTTAAACAAAAAAGTTCAAACACGAGCTGACATATTGAATTTGTGTCAAAAGGAGTTTAAATGATAAATTAAAAAAAAGGGAAGAAACAGCGTTCAGTACGATATCTAGGTATCGAGAAATTAATATAAAAATGGGGAAGCGCAATCGGGGTTTTTTTTTTTACCAATTTTGAATACTTGACAGAATTATTTGTGTGAAAATTTTGGAGTGATCAAAAATTCTAGAAGACGCAAATTAGTAACTGACATTCAAACTTTCTTCACGGCTCCTGACGTCCTTTGTTTTCTTTCCATGAATTATTGCTAAGTTCGAGGAACCACCTTCATGAATACAACTTAACCACTTAGACAAGCTGACAGGTCAAAGTTACCCGGCTAGTAGCTATGCAGGCCTTTCAACAATGTCGTATTACCAGAAATTTCAATTGATTATTAGGATTATCTAAAAGAAACATAACTTTAAAGCTCCGTGGTACTCTTGCTATCATCTCCGACGTAACAGTTTTTATTTTGTTATTAAAATCATATATATATTTTTGTCATAATGAGGCGTTCAAGCCCTTATGTTTTCATATTTGCTCTTAGAAAGATCAGCTTTTCTCGGAAAGATCATCAAACTCCTAGTTTAGTAGGTCTATGCCGGGCAGCCTCAAGATCTAAAACTAAATTGCTATCGAGAGCAAGGGCTCTGGGATTAGCGTTGAATAGCAGCGAAAAATGTCAAATGTGCAAATTCCATAATATTCCAGCGAATTATGTTCGTCAAGCATTGCTATATATGCTCGCTACCGTTACCCAGATCTTGCCTGTACCAGATTCCTTCAAGTTATTAGAGATAATTCATGGGTATAAATTCGATTCTTTTTTTTCATATTTATTCTCCGTTTTCAGTAGGCTATAATATATCTTCTTTCTTTTAGATCCTTCTTCCCCCCTCCCCTCCGAAAAAAACGTTGCATATTACCATTTTCTCCGATTAGTCATACATGTCTTCAGCAAAAAAAGTTGAGTCAAGAGCTTACATATTGAATAATTGTCAAAAAAGAAATTGAAAATACAAGAAGGAAGAGCGTTCGGTACGATATTCGATATTTCGGCATCGAGAAGTTCATCAAACTTGGTGGAAGACTTCAATTTATACGCAATTATTAATGATAAAGGAAATGGTAAGATACGCCAATTTAATGCCATGCTTTTAATTATTAAATATTTTTCCTCGAAGTTATTAAAGATAATTTATGAGTAGCCCATAGCCCATGTAAATAGACACAGTGCAAAACAATTATAACAATCTGAAATTCAAAACTTGACAACTTGAAGCGCGAGTTGGACTTAAGGTGACAAGAGCTTTTTACTCGCAAGATTTACATGATTAAAAGTGAAATATAACTCGAGTAAATGTCTGTGTAGTAACGAATAGGCTCGGAACACACCGTAAGGAAAAATTGCTCGTGTTGATGAAATCATTGTCATTAAGTTTTCCGTTAACAACAACGACAACAATGAACAACTTTATTTTCTACCGAGGACAGATAACTAAAAGAATATACAAGAAATACAGTTAAATGACAATAATACTTCTTGTTAAAACTAATTGGGTGACAATCATTAATTATAATAGGGACCTTAAGCAAGGACGACGACAACGGCAGTGACGGCAGCCATGATGATCGTTGGGGCATGTGGACAGATAAGTCTTCAATCAATACGTTTTTTCTGAATTCAGCTATGGAATTGTTTTTAAAAACGTATCGCTCAGAGTCAAACGAACCCCCAAAACGCACTTTCGGAAAGCGTTACCGCAATCAACTGCTGCTGAGTTCGGCTTAAAATCAACTGATGAGGCATTCCCATTCGTTGCATAAACTATAAAACACTCAAAACCTTGCGCTAAATTAAATCGAATGTTTTTGTTCTCGATATTTCTGAATCCGCACAATATTTCTATACCTGAATCGGCCTTACTTCCCTCCACATAAAACCAGTGAAGCCGCTCAGCTCCAGAGTGTGACTGTGTTTGGTTGTTGTTGCTTTATTTTATTTATTCATACATTTTTTGTTGAAACCGAGTATTTTACACACGAATCTGCTGAAACTGTATACGAATATTTAGTTCCACAATTCGTGCGGTGGTTCTCTCAGGTTTGGAATCACCCAAAAAGAGAAGCTAAAGAGAATTATAAATTAGAAAATGACGGTTTTCAATTTTGCTGGCGCTTATTTCCAAACTTGAATTGCACACATGGAAATCAATTTTTGAAAACCCAATTTGTCAGTTTAGAAATATCCAGATTGTGGAATTGTTACACATTTAATTGGTTGGAAAAAAATGTGTGCATCTATAACGGCTTCGAGGCCAACCTCGTGTTAGACGACTCTAGATCTCTAGATTCTAGGTTTGACCAGGGCTTACAAGTGCCTCCGTGGTGGGACAACATATAAAATGCCATCGAAGAAGAGTCTGTATTCTTTATACTCGTCCCAAAATATCTAGTTCCTGAGTCCTCCTCAGGGTAACGCGTTCTGAAAATTCACAAACAATTTCAACGCTGAATTCAGAAGGACTCTCTCGTTGGAGACTGCTTCAAAGATTTCTGTTGAAATTTCGTGGCACACCCCAATTATATCAATAAAACTTGATACGAGACATTTCAGGCAAAGCCGATAACAGCAAAGTTTTTCATTAGACACGATTTTCTTGAAAAGTGGGCTTTGCTAAATATAACTATGCAAAAAGCATATAATTAAATATTATTGTTTAAATCGAATTCCTTTATATAATTGCTGTCTATCAGCAGATATCCCAGAGTTTCGCAGCCTTTAAACCAAAACAGTTTTGAGACCGAAGATTGTCAGTATTGTCGTAAATCGCTGCTTCTGTAATAACAATGGAACCACCTCAAAGAACCTTTTTTTGTTTTGTTTTGTTTTGTTTTGTTTTGTTTTTTTTTTTTCATCTCTTTTTAGCCAAAGAAATAAGTCTGTATTAAGGCATAAAATGTTTGCTTAGAGACAGACATAGATTTTTTTCGTGCATCAAACAGGAAGAATGATAAACTAAACTCTGAAAAATTGCAGGGCTGTTTTTTCATTGAAACGTTTAGTGGCCCTTTATAATCTGGAATTCATCCGACGTCTGTTAGTTGTAGCAAACTCGAACTTAACCTACATTAAAGATGAACTTTTAGTGGCTTTTAATATATAAAAACACTTCTATTGACTACTTATCTTTTCAGTTTTGACGAATGATGATAGCTCACCTGTGCATTATATTTTGAGATGTGGATAAATGCAATAAAAGTGAGAACGATCCAGCGATTTCTACCTTCAGCGACATTTCCTTGGAAGTATTCAAACGTTGGCACCAGTTTTTCAGAATTGGAATCAGGCACATTTAAGGCGTGAAAGTAATTAATATAAAGCGAAAAGTCCCTGAAATATGATCCAGGGTGTGGCTTATATTTAATAAATTTTAGTTTAGAGTTACATTAAACAGGAACTTTAAACAACAGTTCCACGATGCATTGAATTATTGCTAAAAAAAGCAATTCTATTAGCAAGAAATGGTCGAGGCAACCTGCTAGTCGCTGTTTCCGACAAGAAGAATTGTAAAAACGTTATTTGCTTGCAAATGAAAAAAAATTAAAATAACAGTCAGTAATTCGTTCAGAATGGAATCTTGTATATATTCTTTTGAAATTTTTAAGTCGACTCGATGCATGCAACTAAATGTTCTTCTCATGAGTCGTTGTATAATGAATGTCGTGTCCTTGATCTCTTTGAAAACAATTTACCTTAATTTTTAACCAACGCGCCTTCGCCCAAATTCCTGCCTCTTCGTGTTTTAATTACGCTGTTGAAGACAAACAATATTGAATGAAAGTTGCTTTGTCATTAATATTGGTTACCCTGAATTTAATCAACCAACTATTTGGGACAGATTCATTTTGGCCATTGGAATTATATGCATCTAACACAATTTAAAATTCCAGCGGGCAAATGCGACGACTTAACGCATATGTGCTGTAAATGAGAAATGATTCCAGCCTTAAATTCCTAACAGTTGTTTTTCTTCATCACTAATTTTGCGTATAATTCTAGAGGAGGGAGGGGAGGTTAGGAAGGAGCATTTATTAGAGCATAATAATAAAAAAAATGAAACCCACTAGAAAAAATTTGTAAAATAAGTAAATTTCGCTACAGTAACACTAGGTGTTACCCTGAGCTTAAGTGAATCTAGTGATATACAGAACCTTCATTTTTTCCATTTAGTCAATTTATATTAAACAAAAAAGTTCAAACACGAGCTGACATATTGAATTTGGGTCAAAAAGGAGTTAAAATGGTAAATTAAAAAAAATACGGGAAGAAACAGCGTTCAGGACGATATCTAGGCATTGAGAAATTAATTACAAAAGGGGAAGCGCAATCAATCCAATTTTGAATACTTGATAGAATTGTTTGTTTGAAAATTCTTGGGTGATTAAAAATTGTAGAAGACGCAAAGTAGTAACTGATATTCAAACTTTCTTCATGGCTCGTGACGTCCTTTGTTTTCTTTCCATGAATTATTGCTAAGTTCGAGGAACCACCTTCATGAATACAACTTAACTATAATTCAGACAAGCTGACAGGTGAAAGTTACCCTAGTAGCTTAATGCAGGCCTTTCAACAATGTCGTATTAGCAGAAATTTCGATCAGTTATTAGAATTCTCTAAAGCAAACATAATTTTAAAGCTTCATGATACTCTTGCCATCATCTCCGACGTAACAGTTTTTATTTTATTATTATGATGATGATGATGATGATTATTATTATTATCATTTTTATTTTTATTATTATTATTATTATTATTATTATTATTAGCGGAGCTCTGGCGCACGAAGCGCGCCCCCGGAGCACCATGGGTAAGTAAATCTACCCGTCCCAGAAAATTTGGTAATCACGTGACCGTACACCGCCCGCCCGCCCGCCCGTCCGCACCACAGGGCAACCAGTGTTCAATCCTCAGACTTTCTACCTAGTTTGGGAGCACAGGAAGACTGATACTGCACACATATATTGCACATCAATATTGTGATCAATTGACAACTGTCAAAACAGGGTATCCGCTGACCAGTATCACCTGACCATATCGCAGGCTCAGGTGTCGACCCATCGAGGTCGAGTATCTTTTTGAAGTTATCCGCTGACAAGTTACTAGTCTTCAAATGATCGCAGGCTCAAGTTTAATTCTTTTAAATTCATATGAAATATGTTGTGTTTTTTATGTGCCGCACAATTAAAATTTTGATTTCAAACTGACCTCGGAAGGTAAAATTCAGCCAGGTTTTGCAGGCAGGGAAGACATGCCAGTTACTTTTGACTTTTCTCACCAAGGTCACGCGTTGGTCACGCTCTACGTCCAATTTTAATGCTGGGATTGGTCAAAATTTGACAGGTGAGTTCATGCGGAAAATTTATGCAGCATCTTGAAACCTGTTTACTTTGACAGCTGAGGCTGACAGAGTTTTGTGTCAACTTGTGATGTTTTTAACTGTCTTTTTCCACTGAATGTACAAAATGAAATTCAGCTGCTATCAAGAGTCTTCTGTTATTCATGGCTAGTTTGTTTATTGGGTTTTTGGTTGAGAAATACGGCGCTTGTTAAAGTCGGAAATCCGATTTCGGATGGCATCGTTTTCGTTTTTCACCTTTCTTGATGCATGAGAGGGTTGAAAAGTCTGAAGCGATTCTGGCCTTACTTGATAGTTTTCAGTGCATCTCGAATGGTGAGCCTGAGTTATTATTGTATTTGACGTTTGTTTTTTATATCTAATTTAATGAAGTCGAGCGTAGTTTATACGGCTATTTAGTTTATGCACGTTTTTAATCATGTAAGATTTGAGACAATGATCTGACAATTTAGACATTTTCTTACCGCGAATAAAAAGAAAACGTTCCAAAGAATATTTCGTTATCATTCTGGCTGTAAAAGAAAGCTTTGAGCCATTTTCTTGCCTGTAGTTCATCTTTGAAAAAGCAAACACCGGGAAGCCGGCTTACAAAATGAAAAACATAAACAAGGATTTTCGGAAACACTTTAATACTTGTCTTCGTGAATGAAAATTGTTGTCTCTGTACATGTTTCACCGAATTGTTGACCTTTTATTGATTGTTGGTACTCTCTTTTGCAATTTTTATCGCTGTGCCGTTTGTTTTCAGTCGCTCATGAACATCGCTTGCATGCCGCGCGTATCAAACGCTTTTGAAGATTACACATCGTTATAAAACCATTAAATAAAAAATAAACATAATAAATTCTTTATTATGTTGAAGCGTATAACCCTATTAATCATAATTTAAATAGTCGACTTTGGCGCTTGTCAAAAGTGAGAACCGGCTCGCCTTATAGGTGATTTTGGAAACTTTTTTAATTGTTTCGCTAAAAGCCCACACGTGCTTCGATCGTCCTGAATATTGAGTGAGTGCAATTTGTATTGCAAAATTGTGAAATACTGCATTCTGTCTTAGGTCTGTATGATAAAAACAGCGCCTCATGGTACTATATCACCTCAGTTGTGACGTATAAAAAGTATAAACGGTTGGTTTTCACGTCCCCAGACTTGTTGGCAAGATTTCGTAAAGTAAACTTGTCTAACGCAAAAAATTCCGCCTGATTTGTTTTCCAGGCCTAATCTACTGTGATCAAGAGCCCGCGCTCTTAAATGTGATCGAAGATGATTGCTATTTTTTGGGTGTACATATAAGGCTATCAATTCGATGTAAGATTAAGTTCACTCTTAGCTTGGACTGTTTGCAAATTACTGTTCTCTAAAATCACTTAACCGTTCCTGCAAAAGTCACATGAATGTGTTCTAAAGTTAACTGAATTGTGTGTGGGGGTGTGTTCGAGCAACTCGCTCGCTACACGACGAGGTACCAGGAATCTGATTTACATCTTGGCCTTTATTCTTCTTAATCTTCTTACAACTTCTGCTTACCCTACTTCTACTCTACTTTTCCTACTCTTCTCTAACTTCTAGTTCAAGTATAGTAACGGTTTTAATAGCCAAAGCTGGACATGTTTGGGTTAGCTCGCCCGAAGAGTTTCTATTGTATTTCTTATCGCTAACATTGCAACAGGTTTGCTATTGTCAGGGAATAGACTAGCCTACGCACAGCCGCAACTGATAAGTACCAAATAACGAAGGTCAGTTCTAACACCACAAACACGACCACCTGTAACATTCCTAATATGGCAATAAGTAAATTCGCGAGCTAAGCATAACTTTAAGAACAAGTAAAACAAAAGATCAAAACAGGAAAACAGTACGTAGACAAAAACAAGACTTAATGAAACAAAAACTAAACTTAAAAGACAAGGTAAATCCGTCTTAAAAATTACTTTCAAAATACTTCACAACATTCCTCCCCAATTAGAAAAAGCATCGTCCTCGATGCAAAAGGACGTAATACATGTAAATGGCAAATAAGTGCTTAAAATATCAAAACAAAACTACCAGACTACACAATGTTAATTTAAACAACGTCAACAGTTCAATGTCAACAGTTCAGTGTTCAATACATTGTCCTTGAATCTTGAGACTTGAAAACTTGAGCTAAATAAATTGATGACCGTGTTCTTGTGAAGGACTTGACTAGAGAACCACTTGAAAACGTTGAGAATTAACAGCATAAATCATCGTTTGCTAGAAATGTCATTTCAACTTGAATGTAGCGGACAACGCATACTTGGAAGACAAAGCTATCTTGTTGGTAAATGTTATGAAACACAGCTCCAAATGAAGTGAACTCGTGTAATGAAGACAGAATGTACTGACCAATGTTAAGAATCAAAAAGCACAGTTCTGCTTAACTGTAACAAAGAAGGGGTCAAACTCGACCAAACAGAGTAGCCAGTGCCATGCGGAGTGACCAAAGAGTGTTTTGACTTCTTGGAGACCAACAATCGAGTAATGTTCAGATCCATTTGAGTAGTACAAAGTGGCGAAAAATCACCGACAAGCCATCGAAGAACAACAGAAGAATCGGTTATTGAATACATGACGAAATACCAATGCAAGCAACTTTGCAAAATAAAACTATTACAAAGCGCGTAATATATCTAATTATCTAACAACTAAGGTTATAACAACTACATTACACAAACGACTCGATCAAAATAGCCTCAGAAACAGAACATAAATATAGAAGCTAATAGATCAAAAGATTTTAAAAAAGACATTAAATGCAATAATTTCACGTGCGTATAACATGATACTGACTATTGAACAACTACTCAACTTGCTTAATGAAGAACTTAATAACTGTGTTTATAATAACACTTCAGACACTAATGGAAAACTGACTAATAACAAATGGAGAACTTCTGACCTCAAAAACTTATCAAATTCATGATATAATGTAAACAACAACTT